TTCGAAAGGTGGACCTTTCTTCTGTGTCTACACAGAAGAAAGGTCCACCTTTCGAAAGCGCTCGGATTATAGGGTTTTTATTCATTTCTATAATGAAAATATTAATAGTAATTCACATTATCAGAACCTTAGCTGGCCCATTAGGCATTTCTATTTAGAAGAATGTATAATAACGCTATAACTACACCCTGTTTGATGTAAGGCCCTGACGACGAGTTATTTTTACTCCTTACCTTATTTCGTGTAGTCTTATGGTGTACAACGTTTAATTTGGCGAAATATAACCTTTAAGTGGGCAAGAGGTTTGATAAAACACCCCAGTATGTCTTGCAATAATTGTGTTTACCTAATTATGTATTCGCCTAATACAGGTTTTGTGTTAGAAGAGTAATAAATACATTTCAAGACACATTACACTATTATGCCAAGCCTATCATAGTTGTGAACTGTACTCTATGTGTACAGTTCTTGTACGATAAGAAAATATAAATATACGATAAGTTTGTCGACAAATATGGAATAATGAAGTGTTAACATTAATTTTACTTATTCTTTAAATATTTATATGAATGTAGCTTATTTGTGGCGAACAAAGGATATTTCAGGTCTCATAAATCATGGTGCGTACGAAACAAAATGAGTTTTTAATGTGTATGGATGAATTGAGAAAATTATTTGTTCTTTAATAGTTTGCTCTGCAACTTCTAGGAAATACGTTTTTTTTTCATTTTTTGATAAATCTTGATCATGTAAAAAATGTGAAGGTTTTAATAAACTCATATCTATTTCAAATAGTGGAACTTAGGATGTGCATATCTAACTAAATTTTATAATAAAGATGTAACCTATAATCATGATCATGTAAAAAATGTGAAGGTTTTAATAAACTCATATCTATTTCAAATAGTGGAACTTAAGATGTGCATATCTAGTTAATTTTTATAATAAAGATGTAACCTATAATCATGATCACGTTTTCATTCGTCTGCCAACAAGTTCTTCAAGTTTTACATAAGCGTTTAGGTTAATATTTGCTTGTTACTAAGCGTAATGAGACACGGTGGGTTATCTTTGCGCTGCCTACCGAAACCAAATTTTCTGCGTTAGAAACCCTTAGACTTACCGCTGAGCCACTGTGGTATCTCAGTTTAATGAAATCTGTTTTACTTTATTAATGGGTTATTTGTGTACTGCCTATTGTAGGTATCGAAACCCTATTTTAGCATTATAAGTCCTCAAACTTACCAGTGAATCACCGAGGGGCCTCGGGTTAATGAAATCCGTTTTACTTTATTACTTGATGTCCAATAGAAATTATCCTCGTTGTTCTCTTGTAACTTTCACATAAGGAACTAACATATCCTTTTTCTGTTTGATATTAGGCTCCGTTACGATGTGCGTTCAGAAATTAACATAAATTTGCCAAGTTAGGCATAACTTATTAAACACTAAACAGTGTTTGAAAAAAAAACCTCTAGCATAAAAATAAATATAACGTATTGAGTTACGTTTGGAACACCTTGTACAGTTTAAAAAATCAGAGTGTCAATTTATGTTTAAATATCTTACATTTATGTTATTTTATATGATGGAAGTTGAAGTTTGATCATTATTATTTTTTATTATATTGTTGTTCTTCATTGATATTGTATTTCCGGAGGGTTATAATAACTCTAATTTGGAACCAGGAAACAGACGTCAGAGATACTACGCTCAATAACGATGTCTCTGATAAGTGTTTGGAGCCGTTGTTTCCTCCCACTTCTGTTTACTGTACTACGGAAGAAAGCGTATCAACGACACTATGGTTTTAATTGCTTTTAACTCCGCTAGGGGTAAAGTGAAATATAAAACATACTTAAGGCTACAAATTCTACAAACTCTACAAATTCAGATTCTTCCAAAAAAAAAAAAAAAAGGGGGGGGCAAATAAACTATTATCTTCTATTAATGTATTTATCTAAAATTATTTAATTTGTACATGCATATTGCTATTTTATTTATCACTAATCTAACAACATTATAATTTATGCTGTCACCCGGTGGCTCAGTGGTATGTCTGAGGGCTTATAAAACTAAAATTCGTGTTTTGGTACCAGTGATGAGCAGAGCACAGAAAGCCCATTGTGTAGCTTTGTGCTTAATAACAAACAATTTATCCTAAAGTAATTGCCGTTGCGATTGGCTATCAAAAGTTATGTTTAAAGTAATTATTGTTTGTTTTGCTTTTTGAGTTTCGCGCAAAGCTACACGAGGGCTATCTGCGCTAGCCGTCCCTAATTTAGCAGTGTAAGACTAGAGGGAAGG